TAAAATCTGTTTTGCATTGCCTGTCTTATAACATCTTTACTTGGAACAAAAACCATGTGGTTTAAAAGTGAGCTAGAAGCTTTCAACAATGAAGAAAATATTGCATCCGCTAACCCTAAAATTATATTAAACCTGTCAGCAAAATCAGCTGTCAATAATCCAAGTAATAGCATCATTAAAATTCATCTTGCTGCATTACCTTTATTTTGGTCCAAGTAGTTAAGGATTTTTTTAAATTTCAAAAAACAGAAGTAGATGTTTTTTTAACATTACTTTATCTTCTTTTGATTAATGGTGATACTGCACTAACCGATGAAACACATTGATATATGTAAGGCCAGTATAAAAGTCGCAAGATCTATCATTTTTTAAATAAATGTTTGTATACAAGTAAATTGCAATAACACGATTTGTTTGCATTATGTTTATAAACAAATTTGTCTGGTTTCATAGTTATAACTGATGTGGTTGAAATTAATTTTTCATATAAATCTTTATTTTTTTTATTTCGTGCTGAAGTTCTTTTTTAAAGTTATCAATTTTTTTTTTAATTCTTGATGCTCTTTTATAAAACAACGCCTAATATTAAATTCAACATAACTTAATGGATCATTTTTTGAAAAAGTTGTACTATTTACATTTAATAATATAAGTCTTTGAGCATTGTAGCCCAAGTTAAACGAAAAATAGGGATTTTTAAACAATAACGCTCTTTCAGGAAAGTCGTCTAAACATATTTTCGATCTTTTGAAAATTCTCTATGTTATAAGTTCAGTATTTACATTTTTTTTCCAATATAAATTTCTATAACTTAAACCGTTGAAATAATGTTTACATTTTTACTTCCATTTCTGCGCGCGCATAAATTTTATACCGGAACTGTGATAAAGTGTATTGTATTTTTTGTCAACAATGATTAAACGGTGAAATTACGTTAAATAACCAACGTTTAAACTGTAACGTTGAATTAACGTTGAAATAACGTTAAATAATTAACGTTTAAACCGTTACGTTGATTTAACGTTGTGACATAGTTGAACAACGTTGAAACAACGCTTCAACCGAATTTCAACGTTGAAACAACGTAATGATGCCGGTTGGGTATGAGATAATAATATAACTATTAGATAATAATTGTATTATTAGTAGCTTCTCCGTTTGAAACTTACCACCAGCGCACAAAAAAGTGCTTGCCAGTTTTTTTTACTTCTTTAATTAGAATTTACTTAAGAAAGAATATTTGTTGCAATTTAAAAACAGGTTTGAAAATTATTGGCTAGCACTAAAAAAAGCGCTGACTGAATATTGGCTTGCATGTTGGCGAGCGAAAAACTGCAAGAGCACAAAAGCGGTTTCCAAACGGTAAAGATTGTATTAGATATATATACTATATTATTGAAAAATAATACAAATATTATCTAATAATACAAGTATTATCTAATAATATAAATATTATTTGATAATATAATTATTATCTAATAATATAATTATTATATAATAATAATATTACTACCTAATAATATTATTATTATCTAATAATAGTAATATTATCTAATAATAAAATTATTATCTAATAATAATATTGTTATCTAATAATAATTAGTTAATAATAATATTATTAACTAATAATAATATTATTATCTAATTATATAATTTATCTCTAAATATATATTTATTAGATAATAAATTAATTATAAATTTATTTAAAAAGTATAAATATATAAAATTCAGTACAAACTAAGACATCTAAAGAATTAAAACGCCTTTGTCAGTTACAAAAACTAAACCGATCATATAGTAGCAGTTGTTGTAGTAGTAGTAGTAGTAGTAGTAGTAGTAGTAGTAGTTGTAGTAGTAGTAGTAGTAGTAGTAGTAGTAGTAGTAGTAGTAGTAGTAGTAGTAGTAGTAGTAGTAGTAGTAGTAGTAGTAGTAGTAGTAGTAGTAGTAGTAGTAGTAGAAGAAGAAAAATTGCTGAAACATGTTTCCCTGTATAACCTACAGGTTTTGGCAGCCTTATCTACTTCATACACTAATTTTATTCATATCAATATATAAAAATGTACAATAAGATATATAGTATGAAGTATAAGTTTGAACTTTATTATTTTTCCTTTTTATTTTCAATTTTTTTATTTTATTGTTATAATCTCAATACTTATGCGGATTATTTGAAATTTCTGCATCAAGCTTAGCCATGAAACTGTTAACTGATGAAGCGCATACAACTTCTGACGGCAATTCACTATGCATTAGATTCACTATTTGATTAGTAAAATACTGGTGCTTTCGCTCGCAATTTTGAACATATGTCTATATTGTTAATGATTTTATATGCCTGTATCAGATCTCCCCTAATGCGACGGGTTTCTAAAGACGTTAAGTTCAGTATATTTAGATGATCTTTGTATGACATATGACGATTTGAAGGTATTAAACGGGTAACTCTTCTTTGTACTTTCTTGATTTTGTCAATATCTATTCTGGATAATGGATTGTTGGCTGCTACCGCAAATTCCAGATTAAGTCGTACAAAGGTGGTATATAGAATTTTAAGTAGTTGCGAAGTCATGTGATCGAAAGTACGATACAACATGCCTAATACTCAGTTAGCTTTATTGTTTGCAAAAGTTGAATTGTTATGCCATTTTAAGTAAGGCGTAATAATGATACCTAAATCACGTTCTAATCTAAGAGAAAGAGAAAGTGTTTCTAATACAACAATTTCATTCAATAAATAACTGGTTTTATTATGCTACCAATAAACAAAACAATTTTTACCTAACTTAAAGTTAATTTCCAGCATTTCTAAATTAAGTTCCAGCTTCTCTCAAACTGTTGATAATGAATAATATAATAAGTTTCATATCATATTAAATTTACAAAATTAAAACTATGTTTTAACAGTAACCAAAATAATCAAGTGATGACAAAGACAACTAAAAAAAAGAACACAATTACACAGGTAGCATACATACGTTGTTAAAACATTAGAACAATATTGAGCGTTTCATTGGCCCAACATCGGCTTCCAACGTTGTTTTTATATCATTAGCGACTTTACGAAATCGAAACACCAACTGCAACAAGAACGTAAAAGTTATGATTTTATAAGTCGTCGTTGTCATAGCCGTTTTTCGTAAAATACCGTTACAAAAGTTACTATGAAAAAGTCGCGGTACAAAAAGCCTTTGTATAGTTCTGTATATTTTTCTGCATGATTTTTTGTACAATTATGTTTATAATTATAAAGTAATAAACAAATGTACTTTGTACAACGTACAATGTCAAAAAATGTACATTTATTATTAATATAGATTACAAGTTACTAAATTAATAATAGCCTTATATTTAAATGGTTATTATTAATAATTAATAAATATTGGTTATTGATTCAAATTTTTTTTAACTGATAATTATTATTATTATGTTTATATAAATATATTAACAATAATTAATAAAAATATGTTTATATAAACATATTAACAATAATTATCAATTAAATACAACTTTAGTCAATAACCACGCAAACATCACTTAACACTCCCCAACGGGCATTCCAACATTTAATCAACGTTTAGTTAATGTTTGTTCTAAATGTTTAGATTTAATTTAGTTTTGATTTAGAATGCAGGTCAATCGAATGTTCCATTTAAACAATATATAAATGGTTCGTTTTAAACGCTATTTAAACTCCATCTAAATCTTTTGTTTAAAACTTCGCGACGTTAAACTTTTTTTATGGCGCTTATTTAAAGAAGCATAAATAAATAAAAAATATTGATAAACGAGTCAAACTTTTGTTTTATTTAAGTTGCTTTAAATAAGCACCGTAAAAAAAAGTTAAACGCTGAACGCATTATCTAAACACTCATAAATAAATCAAGCATTAAACAAATCATTTATTATTTATATAAGTCTAAGATACAAGTAAAATCATTTTATTTATTATTATATGCATTATCGTATTCGTCATCATGATCGGCTCCATAATGATCATCGTCATCATTGTTTAAACCGATTAAGACTCTTCGTCTTAAGAATTAGAAAAAAGGACATAACCTTTCCTATTTCCACCTATACAGACGGGAGCCATTCAAAGATTGAAATCAATGCACGATACCATTTGCCGATACCGAAGTCATACAATCTCTTATCTAAAAATAATAAAAATAACTCAATAAACATCTTTATTCTATTCACATAAATCATTCATTTAACAACTTTATAAATCTATAGTTTTATAGATTATAGAAGATCGTACATTAGTAGAGTGTACATTGAGTAACTATGGTAACAATTGATAGAGAACTTTTCTATAAAACTCTGTAAAAATTATAACATTTATCTAATAAAAACCTTATTAAAAAAACTTGTAGTTATTGTAGTTATATGTTAATAAGTTGCACAACTGCAGGAAAACTGCAGTGCTCTTCCTAAACATAGTAATACAATATTATATAGTATTCTATTACTTTATAACAATATCTATATATATATATATATATATATATATATATATATATATATATATATATATATATATATATATATATATATATATATATATATATATATATATATATATATATATATATATATATATATATATATATATATATATATATATATATATATATATATATGAATATAAACACTTACTAAAGCGTGTTTTGATAAGCATTTGCTCACCTTACCTTAAGCTTACCTTAAGCTATACCGTTTTTTTCAAAAAAGAAGAAGAAAAAACGAAGAATAATAAATGAAACGATTGCTTCCCCATCCCAAACCCTAAGTCGATGTAGCAACACTCCATTGCGAGTCAGGCTACTTGTCAGTCGATGTATGTACTGAAGCCTCCAGCAGCAGGCTATTCAGTATGACGTCAGATTGCTTACAATAGTACGCAATACTATTTGTATATATATATATATATATATATATATATATATATATATATATATATATATATATATATATATATATATATAAAGTTTGATAACTCCCATTATCCATTGGCTTGAGGAGCAGTAGGCACATTCAGTATCCTGTTTAATTGAAACTTTCTATTTAATTGAAAAGTTGTGGAGATACCGACAGTTTCACTACAATATAAATAAACATGTAAAAAAAATTGTAATTCTTACAATTCCTAAAGTTAAAAACTAATCAACAAACATATAAATTAAAATATATATATCAAAATCATGTACATGAACTAACACGCAATTCAAGGTAAAAATTAAGTATTACTTGATCAATCCATTAGTTTGGGCTTTATATAGTAGTGGATAATGGTATTTTAGAACTTAATATTTGGGCTCACAGAAACGGACACTTTGCAAGTACTGATGAGTTAGCTACATTGTAAATAACTATATATATATATTATATATATATATATATATATATATATATATATATATAATATATATATATATATATATATATATATATATATATATATATATATATATATATATATATATATATATATATATATATATATATATATATATATAATGTGTACAAAGTTATTTTAAATAAAAATTTACTAAAACATTGTAAATTTGATTATAAAAAGTCTATGCTAAAAGGATTACTTTGCTAAATATGTTCATAGTTCATAAAGTTAACAGGTTTATATAAAAATAAGGAGTTCTATATAAAAGATATAAATTTAGACATCTTACTTGATTGGTCTATTCTAGAGTGTTTTGGTAAAGTAGTCATACTTAATTTGAATAAAGATATCTTAGAATGCGATTGAATGCTTGAGACAAGGTGGCTGTGGAAGTGGTGATGGTTTAACTAAAATGTAAATCCGAGTGTATATTGTTTGAGATATGTTTATTACAATTATTATTAATCTTCACAGATGAATGTATGACAACTTACTTGCATAATCAATTGAATGTACTTGCGGTATCACATCCATAATCTTTTTGTATAATTAAACATTGGTAACTTTTTTTTTCATACTTGAATGCATCATGCATGCACGCTATATTATAATATAGCATGCAGGAATAATGCATGCAAGTATTTCTGACACTATGGTCTAAGGTCTTTACAAACTTTATTTTAAGTTTATTGTAACATCAAATTAGCTAACTAATTAAGCAATATTCGTATTTTTTTGCTTTAACATAAAATTCATCCTTAACTGAAAAATCAAAACTATTTTACTATACCATAAAAATGGCTAATCATTTACTAATTAAAACTTGCTTTTTTTTTTTTACATAAAAAATAGAACAAACTAAATAAAACTATTGTTTTTAATTTTACAATCTATATATATATATATATATATATATATATATATATATATATATATATATATATATATATATATATATATATATATATATATATATATATATATATATATATATATATATATATATATACATATATATATATATATATATATATATATATATATATATATTATATATATATATACATATATATATAATAATACATATATATATATATATATATATATATATATATATATATATATATATATATATATATATATATATATATATATATATAGTCTTGCATGTCTCTTGCGTAGCATCAAAAAATATTTCCCATAAACTGTAGTTTTAAAGAGCGCGTTAATAAACCAGACCAGAAAAAGTTTTAAAAATTAAATTTTTTTTTTTAATTGATAGACTGCCTGGCTAAACCAAACCCTCAGTCGATGTAGCAGCACTCTCTTGCGAGTCAGGCTATTTGTCAGTCGTTGTAGCAGCACTCCCTTGCGAGTCAGGCTATTTGTCAGTCGATGTAGCAGCATTCCCTTGCGAGTCAGGCTATTTGTCAGTTGATGTAGCAGCACTCCGTTGCGAGTCAGGCTATTTGTCAGTCGATGTAGCAGCACTCCGTTGCGAGTCAGGCTATTTGTCAGTCGATGTAGCAGCACTCCGTTGCGAGTCAGGCTATAAGATAGTCGATGTAGCAACATTTACGCATGTTTAAAAAATGTTTTTTATTAAATCAATAACAAAAACACCACTAATTAAAAAAAACTTTCTAGTCGTTATAATTGCGGTTTTTTAAAAATTTTTTAAAAAACAATTAAATTTAATGTACTTCCGCATAAATTAATTGCTTTGACATTTCGATGACAATCAAAAACAGCTTAAGAGACGAGGTAATTAAAATTGTAGTCGTAAGAGACTTTTTTTACATTAAAATGCTCTTAAAGCGACACTATATGAGTATATATATATATATATATATATATATATATATATATATATATATATATATATATATATATATATATATATATATATATATATATAAATATATATGTATATATATATATATATATATATATATATATATATATATATATATATATATATATATATATATATATTATATATATATATATTACATATATATATATATATATATATTTTTAATAATACATATGTATATATATATATATATATGTATATATTATATATATATACATGTATATATATATATAATAATACATATATATATATATATATATATATATATATATTATATATATATATATATATATATATATATATATATATATATATATATATATATATTTATATGTATATATATATATATATATATATATATATATATAAATATATATATATATATATAAATATATATATATATAAATATATATATATATGTATATATATATATATATATATATATATATATATATATATATATATATATATATATATATTATTTTCCTTAACAAGGGATTTATTCGGTTTTTAGTGCTGTTTTCCCATAATTAACTATTTCTACTGTAATTGCATTAAACTAGTAATATTAACTCCGAAGAAATTGAAAAAAAAATTAATTTAGATTAGAATAATGCACAATTATGGATTAATTATATGTTATTGTTTTTAGTTTATATATTATGAGTTTCTATATAAACATTAAAAAATTAAGATGAAACCTTTAAAATTGTTGTATAATCAGTGCTTTTGCGCTTTTTTGATATCTGCTAATTATCAATGTCTTCTTCAGTTTCTGATATTTAAAACTTTTGCAATCCTCATAACAATCTGTAAAAGAAATAAGAAAACATCTTATCCAAAGCAATGACAAATAAATTTGAAAAGTAAATTATTTAACATTTTGTGAATAAAAATTGTAATATCATCAACTAAAATAACAATTCAATAAAATACCAAGCTTTTGGTTTTTCCAACTAAACAGACTGGCGGTATGACATTTTGCTAAAATGTTAACACTAATTTGGTTGAAGGTACATCAACACATAACATTAACTTGTAACTAAACTTGTTAAAAGTGTTTTAAATAAGTTTATTCGTTTAGTTTTTTAGCTTTTTTTGCTGACTTTAGTTTTCCTAATTCCGAGGGATGATATACATATAAATACTATATATTTCGACCCGTAAAGTTTCAAGCTTGGTAGGTCTTTCATAACATAATAAAATAAATAAAAATAATACTATAAATATTTCAATAGCTTTTAGATATAGAGCATAAAACAAAAACAGAACAATTTGAACTCTCTTTTAACTAATTTAAACTTTAAAGACTCGAACCAATCATCAGCGTACTTTTTAAATATAACAGGAATTACCTTCAATCTTACATTAATTTTTAAGCGTTGAATTTTTATAAATAGCTTTTCAGAAGCCTGAGCAAATAGATTATGATTTAAAAGGTATATATCTGACAGATGTTCAACTATTACAATCATATCTTAAAGTACAGAGTTTTCACTTTATCTTGTAATTACTAAAAGAATAACTATTAGTTTTAAAAGTCACTGCAGGTTTTATTTATAGAATGATCTTTACAGAAATAGACATTAACTTAATTAACATTTTAGGAAAATCTAATTTTTAAAGGAGTAAAAATTCACAAAAAATCAATTACCACTTGTATGTGTACTTGGCTGTTTCCTGCTGCTTTAATTGTTATTGCAACTGAATGGACTGCACATAAAATATTAAATGAAATTATACACACAAAACGTAATTAACAATAAAAAATATATTTGCGCGGATTTCAGAAAATTATATAATATAACTATATATATTATTATTCAAACCATGTTAACTTTTCTATTAAAGAGAAAATAAATGATACAATATAATAATCTATCATATCAGATATAAGTAAATTTATTTTCTTTTTAGTGGTTATCATATAGGAGTATGAATAATACTTAAATTTTTAAAAATATTTTTTAGTTTACATAAAAGCCTACATTTTAACTGAAGATCATTATATAAATATTTGAACCTCACAATTTTTAATTGGTACTGACTGTACTAAAAGTATAAATATTATAACATTGCTATTCGATCAATATAACATCTATCATAAACAAATAGATGTTAGGTCTTAATATAAACAAACAATAATAATTTTATTTAGTTATTTAAAAAGTAGTTACGACTTAAAATGTATAAAAACTGCATAAACTTTCTCTAAAACTTCTAGAGAAAGTTTATGCACTTTAAGAAATAACTATTTTTCATAAATTTTCTACTTTTAGTAAAAGTAGAAAAATTAGGAAGATAAAAGTTAACTATAGACGTTTTATAGCGTTGTTAAAAACCAAACAGAAAAAACAATTTAAAAAATAGTTTAAAAAAATGTTGACACTGATACTTTTTTGAAACTACTGCTCCTTTTTTGAAACTGCTATTTTAGTAGCAATAACTAAAAAAAAAGAATTATCAAAATACATTGTTACTGTACTTACTTACTATTAATATTACTATTAATATTACTATATTACTTTTAATCGCTCATACAATATTATCGAAGAACTTACAGGACTTTTTAGCTGCTTCATTAGCCACAATATAATATTATTATTTATTATTATATATACTTTTATTTTGCTGATTAAACAGTTACAATAACAATTTTCATATAACCATGTAAAAAATACATAAAATACACGTCATAAAGATAAACATGATAAAAAACGTTTTTTGATAATTTTTAATTTTATATTAGATATATTCTGTTCTAATCAGTCAGGGACTCAAAGAAGGTAAGGATAATGTGTTTAACATCACAACCTTTTTATAAAGCCCCTATAGTCACTCGTTATAAAAACAATTTAATTTTTAAAAATAAAATAAAAATTCAATAAAAACAAAGCTCATATTTGTTAGTGTAACAAATTCAAAAACAAAAAAAATTAAAAACAAGAAAAATAAGAAAGACGGAAAAAAAAAAAAAAAAAAAAAAATACTGTAAATTAAAAAAATATAAATGTCAGGAATTAAGAAGATGCATTTTAGTTTCCCCTTTAAACGATGAAATGCTCTTTAGGTCTTTAATATTTTTATTTTGAAAATGATTCCATGTTGATGGGCCACGGTTTGTAATTTAAAAATTTGGTTGATGTGAATTAATTTTCCCTAAGTGATAGTTGTACTTGGTTTTTGAACGCAAATTATATTTTTTTAAAAGTGATATATAAACGTATAGGTTGTTCTTATACTTATACATAAAAATTAATATTTGAAATGTGTTAAGCTTCTCAATATCTAGAACCATCGTGCTTTTCATCACTGGGGCCGAGTTTACTAACCTATTTAAATAGTTTATTACTTTGCATGCATGGTTTTTCAAGCTTTGCAATAATATGCTTTACTTTAGTCTTGTACATTTGTCTAATGTATAAGACTAAAGTAAAGCATATTATGCGATTTACTATCGAGAAAAGGCCTCGACTTTTACAAAACGCCTAACAGAAGACATTTTTGTTTCAAGGAGACCAATATGGTTTCTCCATGACAAATTTTTATCAAAAAGCACTCCCAAAAATTTTGTACATTTTCACGTTTGATTTCATTTTTATTAATAAGCAGTTTAGGAAGCTTTAAAGGGAGATTAATTGATTTTTTTTTTTTTTTTTATGAAAAAGGGTAAAACTAGTTTTTTGACAATTTAGGGATAATTTATTTGCTTTGAACCAGAGGTTGATTTTTTAAAGTTCAATATTCATAGTTTCAAACAAAGTCTTTGCATTAGGATGATTAAAAAATAAATTTGTATCGTCAGCATACATAATTGTAGATATTTTTTGGGATGCTTTATGCATATCGTTAATATAAACTAAGAACAATAATTGACCTAGGACTGAACCCTGAGGAACTAATATCGAGGGCTCCTGACTTTTCTAGTAATACAAATTGCTTTCTGTTAGACAAATAGCTTTGAATCTACTTAAATGTTGAGCCTATTATACCGTAGTATTTTAGCTTGGAAAGTAAAATACTGTGATCAACCGTATCAAAGGCCTTAGAAAGATCAACAAAAACTCCTAATACCAGCTCATCACTATCAAACGACTTGAATATTTTGTCAGCAAGTTTAATAATAGCATGTTCAGTAGAACACCTAGTTTGAAATCCAAACTGATTTTTGTTTAATAAATTGTTTAATGTAAAGTAATTGTTTACTCTGTTATATATTATTCTCTCAAATACTTTTGAAGTAATGGAAAAGAGAAATTGGTCGGTAGTTGGAAACATTATTGCAATCACCTTTTTTGAGAATTGGATTAACTTTGGCTAATTTAAGTTTGTTACGGAATATACTAATTTCGAATGAAGATGATATTAAATAAAATAATGGTTTACTAATGCTGTCTATTATATAAATTGCTACATTACTGGAAATACCATTGGTTGCACAATGTTAGAAGCAAAAGAGGGGCCTAAATTTTTTTTTTTTTTTTTTTTATTTTATTTTTTTTTTTTTTTTTTTTTTTACAACACAAGTATCCGTATATATTTCAATAAAACAAAATTACATATTTTTACTTATAAGTACAAAACGTACAATTAAACAATTTTTGTACCATTAAAGTTTTTACAAGACAAAAGAAATTTAAAATTCTGTTTAGCGCATGCGCGTTGTACAGTGTACAAAATAAGGTAACTATTCGTTGTTTATAATATAAAGTGCTGGCTATTAACCCATGCATTTAAAAAATATATGCAAGTCCGTCGTACCACAGGGCTACTAGGGACTTGCTTGTGGACGTTGTTGAATATATATATATAAAATTATTCTTAAAAAATATTTTTCTTTGTTGTAAGGAAACTCACAGAAGACTAAAATAGTCTTTTCATTGAGAACCTTTAAATCATAAAATAAACTTTAATGCACTAGTTCAACAAATACACATAAGTATTTTGGTATCTACTATATAGTAGAAGTAGTAGGGCTTTTTATTATTACTATTTTTCCCAAATTGTTTAATACATTTCGATGAAGTTGGTTAAGTTAATTATGATATGTTTTAGTTTTTTTTTCAGAGCAATAAGGTTATCCATTTTATTAAGTTCCATATTTTGAAATATTATTTTGTTATGTAAGTATGGGCCACGGTACATTAAAGAAAATAGCGAGAATATTGTTTTTTTTAAAGGCAAGGTGAAGTTGCCTCTTCCTCGTGTGATATATTTGTTTGCGTTGATATGAAAAAAGCTATCACTAAAGTATTTCGGAACAAGTCCGAGTTTGTATTTTAGCATGAATAAGATATTTTGGTAAATATTAATTTGATAGATATTTAATGCATTCAAATTTTTAAGTAAAAGGTCGGCATGAGTGAATTTATCTTTATTGTAAATTAATCTTGATGCATGTTTCTGATGTATGTTGAGTGAATTTAATTTAGTTTTATGGGTACTTCCCCATGCAATATTAGCGTATGTTAGGTAACTTTGAATATAAGAAAAGAAGAGAACTTTTAAGTTGTCTTGGGAAAGGATAGGTTTGGCTTTGAAGAGTACGCCGATACTTTTTGATATTTTTGTGTTTATTGTATTAATGTGGGCTTTCCAATTAATATTCTGGTCAATAATTATTCCAAGAAAATAACATTAACAAAATATTTGTTAAATTCTTGGCATATTTTTGTTGTACTTGTTATAATTTTTTTATTAGAAATTAGTTTTTGTGGTAAGCAAGGTGCTTATTTTTCTCTCTTCCTGTTAGTTTGTTTATAACAGCCCAAGTCCTTTTTATGTCAAATTTATACTTGTCAAGCTGATTAGAAAAATACCTTATTTTTTCTTCTTTCATATTATGTTGAAAAAAACTTTTTATAATTTTTGTAAATTTTTTCATCTACATTATTTTTTGATTTTAAAGTTGTTGTCATCCATGGATTCTTATATTCTTTGTTTTTTATTTCTGTAGTTATTTTTGGGCATACATTATCAAAGATATTTTGCAATGTTTTTGAGAAATGGCCAAACGCAATGTTAGGATCTGTTGATGAGTATACTTTATCCCATTGCTCTATTTGTTGTTTGTTTTTAAAATTATTTAAGTTTTTTGTAGAAAGATTTCTGTAAGTCACAAAGCATTTTTTATTGTCGATATTAGATAGTACTTCGCGTGCAATATTGAAAACGGGAAAATGATCAGAAAAGTATGCAATAAAGAGTCCTGATTCAAATTTAGTATTTAGGGAACAGTTTGTTAAAATATTGTCAATCACAGAAGACGATTGATTAGTAATGCGCGTGGGTTTAAATATGGGGGTTATTATATTAAATTCAAATAGTAAATTGAAAAAGTTTTTATGTTTGCAAACTTTTCATAACTTAATGCGTCCATATTTGTATCTTCGGCAAAAAAAACGTGCTTGTTTTGTGTACTCATTTGAGACATAAAAGTTTTTAAGACATTAATAAAGTTATTTTGTTTACCACATGGCGGTCGATACAATGAGGAGATTAAAAACGATTTATCAGAAGTATTTAACACTTCAATGCACAAAGTTTCAATACGTTTGTTTGTTTTTGAAAAAGTGCTGTTTTTTTAAATTCAAACTTATCAAGAAAATACACTGCAACGCCACCTCCCTTGTTGTTGTCACGTGGTTGTCTTATCATTTTATATGAAACTAAATTGTATAAGGAATTTTCTGACATGGGCAAGTTTGCATCTTCCCAAGTTTCTGACATACATATTACGTCAAAAAGAAAATTTAAAGAATAACAAAGATGTTTAAATAATTCAAAATATTTGTTCATTGACCGTATATTTATACTTAAAATGTTTAAATCTTTGTCAAGCTATTTTCTCTTAAATTCTTCCGGTTTATAGTATTCATTATCTAAGGATTTAATATCATTTCAGTCAAAAACTTATAATCACTTTTGTTATATTTCAAAATTTCAAAAATTGGAGATATTAATTTTGTTAAATTTGCTTCATTATTATGAATTGTTTTAGATATATTCATTGTTAACATTGTATTTAAATAAAAACCTTAAAATTTAATATCTAATGAAACTATTAAAACGTAAATAAACAAACTTCTTGCTTTCAACACCTTCGTTCTCGTTTATCATATCACTTACCACTAATTGATTGTAAATGACTTTTGCGTATTTTCCGTTACCACGATGATTTTAGCTTGTACAAAAAGTTCTTTACGAATTCGCATTGTTTCATCACTATAGTCTTCGTTAATATATATATTTTTCCCCTTGAGTTTATGAGCGTTTGGTAAAATGTTTTCCTTGTCCTGCCAGTTTAATATTTTGCAGACAATAGTTCTAGGCTTTCCACTAAACTTACCGACACAATGCGCTCTTTCTATAATAACTGGACCCGCAATTTCAAGGTCTTCTTTAATTAGTAAGTTCACTTTTTTTACAACATCATTAAAGATTCGTTATTTTAATCTTTGATTCAAACAATTCTTAAATTGTTACGTCGGTTTCAATCCTCAAGATAGACAGTTTTTCTTTTATTTTCAATTGAATTGCTGCTTAATTTTACGTGGAATGATTTAATACCCACAATAGTTTCTTTAACTTCTGCCATTTTTCTATCAACCTTGCTTACTTTTTTCCCAATTTGATCACCAACAAAAGTAAGCCCACGTTTTAATTCTTCAATGTCTTTTGGCTAAGTTCTCAACTTTTTTCAGGACACTGACCAAACTTTCCTTAAAGCATTTGAAAATTGTATCTCCTTGTATTGACACGAGTTCTCAAAGCATTCCCATCGTAATTACTTTATCGTTTTATAGTTTAGATAGTATAAAATTTCTTTTATACTCTCTAAACTATTTATTACATAACTTAAGAATAATAAGAAACTCTAATTTTTAATCATAATGAAAGATTCAAAATGTCCGACACATTTTGTACAAAACTAATTTAATTAAGTTAGTTCCGTACGAAAATAATTTGATTTTGCTTTTCAACGCAAATTAAATATTCAGAACACGTTTAAAATAGATTCCTAAACGTTTAGATCGAAGTAAATGCCATCTAAACGTGATCTAAACCAATTTTAAAGCAACAAATGCCCGTTGGGTCCGAAGCTCTTACCATTGAATTACACATACACAGCTGATATATCAGCTTATATCGCTATAAAATTTACCACAAAAAATAAAAACAAAAAAACTTAGTGACAAAATTTATTGGGAAAAAATGCTAACGTTTTCATAATCATTTCACGTTTTCAACACAACGCTGAAACTTTAATTTTAACGTCTGGCCTAGAACTTTGAAACGCGAATTGGGACTTACCCTAAGCTTACACATGCGCATAAGCAATTTTTTGTGTTTGTTATTCAAATATATATATACAGGGGCGGATACAGGATTTTTTGAAGTTTCAAATAACTAACTTCCAGATATGGAGCGAACTCCAAACTTTTATATGTTTATAGTTATATCAAATATGGATACCATGCAAAAAATTGAGATAATAGGAGCCTGGGAACAAAAAAGCCCCAAAATTTTTGCTACACCTGCCCCAAACGTGAGAGCAACAAGTTGATAAAATAAGTTTTTTACTTTTCTCAACTAAATCTATATTCATCGAGAAATTTTTAATTTTGTAAAACAATCTTTTAGCGTTCAATAATAATGGTCTTATAAAATTTGTAACCCCCTCAAATTGAGGGGGATTTAAACTCTATGTGGCTATAACTTTTGAACGTTAAGAGATTTTTGTATGAATTTTAAAACTTCTCGATGAATATAGATTTAGTTAAAAATAGTAAAAAAATTATTTTATCAACTTGTTGCTCTCGCGTTTGGGGCAGGTAAAGCAAAAATTTTGGGGTTTTTTTGTTCCCAGGCTCCTAATATCTCAATTTTATGCAAAGTATCCTTATTTGATATAACTATAAACATGTAAAAGTTTTGAGTTCGCTTCATGCCTGGAAGTTAGTTATCTCAAACTTCAAAAAATCCTGCATATATATATATATATATATATATATATATATATATATATATATATATATATATTATATATATATATATATATATATATATATATATATATATATATATATATATATATATATATATATATATATATATAAATATATATATATATATATATATATATATATATATATATATTATATATATATATATATATATATACATATATATATATATATATATATATATATATATATATACATATATATGTGTATATATATATATATATATATATATATATATATATATATATATATATATATATATATATATATATATATATATATATGTATATATATATATATATATATATATTTATATATATATATATATATATATATATATTTATATATATATATATATATATATATATACATATATATATATATATATATATCTATATATATATATATAATATATGTATATAT